GCTGAGCAGGGAGCCCGATGTGGGACTCGATCCCGGGACTCCAGGATCATGACCTGAGCCGAAGGCAGTTGCTTAACCAACTGAGCCACCCAGGCGCCCCTGTACAAGCAAGTCTTTACAGATCATATAAATTTCAAAAAAATTATGTTCAAAATTATGTTTAAAGTATAATAAATCCCCGTAACACCACCTTAAAACAGTCCTATAAATTGGGGTGGCACCCATGGGTCTAGGACTAAGGCAAAAGCCATCACCAATATTTGTTGGTACATCAAACTGCTGAAAAGCCTTAGTATGTAGTGCATAAGTACCAGAACAACTGGGACAAACTGCTCCCACGTCAACAGTTTTTCTAATTCTTCTTTTTCAGTATCATGGGCTAATGAATTCACATTTATGAAAAAACTTATGACAAGTCCACTATATGCTAAGCATCATGCTAGGGAATTTAGGGCACTTCTCTGCTGTAAATGATGGGACAAAATATCAAAATTCTAAATAAAGACAGGATTAGTATCGCCTTGGGCTCCAACAGGGGTAGGCACAGTACTATTACTGATTCTATTTTTATTTAAAATTTTGGCATTTTGTTCATCATGGATTTTTTGCATTAATTTTTTTAATATTGCATTAAAATGTTATTAGATCTTGATTACTGAGTTTTTCAGTGCCCCTTTGAATTTTGTACCCTGAGCAAGTGCAAGTGCCTCACACTCCTCACCCTAATCCTGGCCCTGCCTAGAGTTTGCAACCCACACAAGGGGTTGGAAAACTTTTTCTGAAAAGGGCCAGATAGTAAATATTTCAGACTCTGTGGGCCATGTCATCTTTGTTATACCTACTCAACTCTGTCATTATAGAGCTAAAACACCACGAATGATATTTAAATTAAAAGTGTACTTTGTTGGGCGCCTGGGTGGCTCAGTCGGTTAAGCGACTGCCTTCGGCTCAGGTCATGATCCCAGCGTCCTGGGATCGAGTCCCACTGCGGGGAGCCTGCTTCTCCCTCTCGCACCCCCCCTGCTTGTGTTCCCTCTCTCGCTGTGTCTCTCTCTGTCAAATAAATAAAATCTTTAAAAAAAAAAAAAGTGTACTTTGTTGTGATGAGCACTGCGTGTTATACGCAACTAATGAATCATTGAACACTACATCAAAAACTAATGATGTGCTATATGGTGGCTAACTGAACATAATAAAAAAAAAGTGTGCTTTGTTCCAATAAAAATTTATTTACAAAAACAGGCTGCAGGACATATTTGTTCCACAGACTGTAGTTTGCCAACCCCTAATCTACACTAAATCCTTATTTAGTTGTCAGTCCTAGAGTGTCAAGCAATTCTCGTTAATAAATTGTCTGTAAATAGCTACAGCTTACCCTTGAAGAGCCAATGATAATAATGTAACCAGTTTTGATCAAAATTTTCCTAAAATGAACTAAAAATGTTTTTAATGTTTTATAATACAGAAAACTTTTAAAGAAAATTGAAAGCACCCATAATCACTCTATTGCACAATTATCACTATTAAAATTTTGGTGAATTATCTTCAAGTCTTTCTATACATATTTTAATAAAGATAAAAGTATTGGGCAGGATAGGCCTGATTAGGCTGTGTTGACAAATTAACCCCTAAATCCCAGTGGCTTAACTCAGTTAAGGCTTATTTTTCACTCACGCTACCTGTCCATCATGGGTCAACAGGGACCTTAAGTCCATCAAGGACCCAGACTGATGAGGAAACTTCACAATCTTGTAGCTGCCCCTGGAACATGTGACCTCTTCAGTCACCTTGGGAGACAAAGCAACAGCTGGAGGCTCTCACACCGGTTCTGCTATGCTTTGGCCCAGAAGTAACACACCACTTTCACCCACAGTCCACAGTCTAGAACTAGTCATGTAACTATAGATGGAAAGATAGAAATGTCAAGGACATAAAGTGGAGTGTTTGATGGCCACCATCCTCCTTGTCACATTAAAAATCACATTACATATATATAGATACATATATATATATAATTTTATTCCTTTCTTTGCCCTTAAAATTATATCATAAGCTTTTCCCTACATCATTAAATCTCTTCATAAACATATAGATATCATCCTCTGTTACTCAGGTTCACTATTATAGCTTCTGCACAGCAAAGGAAACAATCAACAAAACTAAAAGGCAACCTACAGAATGAGAGAAGATATTTGTAAATGACATATCTGATAAAGGGTTAGTATCCAAATATAAAGAACTTATAAAACTCAATACCCAGGGACACCTGGGTGGCTCAGTCAGTTAAGTGTCTGACTCTTGATTTCGGCTCAGGTCATGATCTCAGGGTTGTGAGATTGAGCCCCACATTGGGGTCCACACTGGGCATAGAGCCTGCTTAAGATTATCTCTCTCCCTCTCCCTCTGCCCCTCACCTCCTCCCTAAAAAAGAAAGAAAGAAAGAAAGAAAGAAAGAAAGAAAGAAAGAAAGAAAGAAAGAAAGAAAGAAAAGAAAAAGAAACTAACTCAATACCCAAAAAACAAATAATCCAATTTAAAAATGGGCAGAAGACATGCACAAACATTTCTCCGAAGAAGACATCCAGATGGCCAACAGACACATGAAAAGATACTCAACATCACTGATCGTCAGGGAAATACAAATCAAAACTACAATGAGATATCACCTCACACCTGTCAGAATGGCTAAAATCAAAAACACAAGAATAAACAGGTGTTGGCGAGGATGCAGAGAAAGGGGAACCCTCATGCACTGTTGGTGGGAATGTAAACTGAGACAGCCACTATGAAAAACAATATGGAGGTTCCTCAAAAAGTTCAAAATAGAAGTACCTTATGATCCAGCAATTGCACTACTAGGTATTTACCCAAAGAATACAAAAACACTAATTCAAAGGGATGCATGCACCTCTGCTATAAATAGTAGCATTATCTACAATAGCCAAATTATGGAAGCAGCCCAAATATCCATCAATTAATGAATGGATAAAGAAGAAGTGGTATATATACACAATGGAATATTACTCAGCCATAAAAAAGAATGAAATCTTACCATTTGCAATGACATGGTTGGAACTACAGAGTATTAGGCTAAGCAAAATAAGCCAGTCAGAGAAAGACAAATACAATATGATTTCACTCATATGTGGAATTTAGGAAACAAACAAATGAGCAAAGGGAAAAAAGAGAGACAAACCAAGAAATAGACTCTTAATTATAGAAAACAAACTGATGGTTACCAGATGGGAGGTGGGTGGGGGAATGGGTGAAATAGGTGATGGGGATTAAGGAGTGCACTTGTGATGAGCACTGGGTGATATATGGAAGTGTTGAATCATTATATTGTACACCTGAAACTAATATTACACTGTATGTTAACTAATTGAAATTTAAATAAAAACTTAAAAAAAATTATAGACATTGCTATGTGCCAGATATTCTCCTAAATACTTTATGCAGATTTTGTCATTTAATTCTTACAACTAGTCTATGAGGAAAGTCCAACAGTATACCCATTTTATGGTTCTGCAAATAGAGGCCTAGTGAGCTTAAGTAAATTTTCCAAGGCCACACAGCCAGTAAGTGGCAGATCTGAGACACATGCACAGGACTGTGAGACTTCAAAACCCATTCTCTTACCCAATGAGTGTGAACTAAAGAGCTGAGTTATGGTCCAAGTCTGAAATACAGCACCACTGTGCTGGGCTATTGACCAGGAGGCATATCATCGCAGGAATGGAAGAGGATGCATGAGACCATGAGGTTTTGTTGTTACCAGTAACTGTGGACAACAGAACAATGACAGAAAAATGGGACCCAATAGGAGACTGGTCAAATTTTCTAGTTTTTTCTCTTTCTTCCTCTGTGAAGTATTTGGAAAAATGACTGGTCTCTTTGAATTCATCAAGGTCCCTGGGTTCTTAGACCATTTTGGAGGGAGGGGGAATAATAAAGATATAATGGACTCTGCTACTCTGGAGTTTAGCAGGTTTTAATTTAAAAAAAAAAAAATTAGAAGAGCTGGCAGTCTTGGCAAGCCGCCACAGAGAACACGGGCAGGGTAGGGCAAGAGGAAGAAAAAGGAAAAAGAAAATAGAAGAGTAATAAGAGTCTTCTTTAAAAATTTAACTACATTTAATCTATCTTTACTTAATACATATTCTCTACTTAAAGCAAGGATAGATATGCACAGATTTCTGTTGTACAGTTTTTAGCATTCTTCATAAATTCTTGTCTTGTCATAGAAATTCTAAAAATTGTGGGACTTGCTATGTATCATCACATATCTTAAAATTCTTAATGAACTGGAAGGTTTATATTTAAAAAGCACTATCGACTGTTGAATCACAGACCTGTACCTCTGAAACAAGTAATACATTGTATGTTAAAAAAAAAAAAAAAGAAGAAGATAATAGGAAGGGAAAAATGAAGGGGGGGAAATCAGAGGGGGAGACGAACCATGAGAGACTATGGACTCTGAGAAACAACTGAGGGTTCTAGAGGGGAGGGGGGTGGGGATGGGTTAGCCTGGTGATGGGTATTAAAGAGGGCACGTACTGAATGGAGCACTGAGTGTCATATGCAAACAATGAATCATGGAACACTACATCCAAAGCTAATGACGTAATATATGGTGATTAACATAACATAATAAATAAATAAATAAATAAATAAATAAATAAATAGCACTGTTGATATAATCACTTAAATATTATCATCACAATTGTGTCTTTTTTTTTTAAGATTCTATTTATTTATTTGACAGAGAGAGACACAGCGAGAGAGGGAACACAAGCAGGGGGAGTAGGAGGGGAAGAAGCAGGCTCCCCGCTGAGCAGGGAGCCCGATGCGGGGCTCGATCCCAGGACCCTGGGATCATGACCTGAGCCGAAGTCAGACGCTTAACGAGACTGAGCCACCCAGGGGCCCCACCACAATTGTGTCTTAAGACTAAACCACCTATCAAACTTAAGCGTGCTATCTCAGTCTGTTCAGGATGCTATAACAAAAATACCATAGATGGGTAGCTAAAACAAAAAACATTTATTTCTCACAGCTCTGGAGACAGGGAAGTCCAAGATCAAAGTGCTGGTCAATTTGATATACGGTCAGGCCCTCGTCCTGGTTCATAAGTAGCCATTTTTTCATGTGACTCACATGGTGGGAGGAGTGGCACTAATAGGGGCACTAATCCCATTCATGAAGCTCCACCCTCATGACTTAATTACCTCCCAAAGGCCCTACCTCTTAATGCCATCACATTGGAGATTATGATTTCAACATACGAATTTTAGGGAGACACAGACATTTGGTCCATAACACATGCGAAGTTCTGTTTTAGTAATAAGTCCATTCCTAGACTTCCTAGGAGCGCACAGACACATAAGAAATCTCTACTGGTCAAGTTCTGTTTATTTAGAAGGTGTATTAGTTGCCTAGGGCTGCCATAACAAATCACTACAAACTTGGATGGCTTAAAACAAAATTTATTCTCTCACAGTTCTGGAGGTTAGAAGTCCAAAATCAAGATGTCAGCAGGGCCATGCTCTCTCTGAAGGCTCTTGGGAAGATTCTTGGCTTGCTTTTTCTTAGTGTTCGGTGGTTGCTGGCACTCCTTGTCATTCCACAGCACACAGATGTATCACCCCAATATCCACCTCCATCATCACATAGCATTCTTCTACATATGTCCAAATTTCCCTCTTCTTATAAGGACACCAGTCATTGGAGTAGAGCCCATCCTAATGCCATATGACCTCATTTTAAATTGATTACATCTGCAAAGAGCTTATTTCCAAATAAGGTCACATTCACAGGGATCTGGAGTCAGAATTTCAACATGTTTTGCCTGGAGGACATAATTCAATGCACAGCAGAGGTCATAAAATTGTCTTCATGTCTTCCTTGGGAGTATAGGTGAAGACGGCAGAAAGAGAAGAATAACTCTCCACCAACTCTAGTGGAAGGCTCTGTGTAGTCTTGATAAACTTTCACCAGTAGACCGATTTTCAAACACTTGATCATATGCTAAGCACAAAGAGTTTCAACTCTTGAGTGGGTTTTGGGGTGCAAAACTGGGTACCTACATCCCATATATAACAGCGTTTACCAGTCAATCAATAAAAAGGGCTCCAAGTTCAAATGAACTACCTTACAAACAAAATTTGGCAACCAACCCATTTGAAAGTTAGGAATTGCATATAATTTTGACCATTACTCATTTTTCTCTCTTTTCTCTAAGGGCAAGAGCTCTGTTATTTGATATATACTATTTGTAAATGCTACTGGAACTTACAATAATCCCTGAACTAAATGGTTAGCAACCAATATTAACAGATGATGATGATGATGATGATTATGCTGCTGATAATGATAGCAATAAATCTAAACAGACATTTTTAAGAATGCAGTAGCCTTCTGTTTTTATCATAAGAAGTAAATTTTTTAAAGTAGATAACTACATTCAAGTGTTTATTATTTCTTACATAATAAGTACAGATAGAGATCTGGAGCTTATGTTAAAAATAAAAAAAAATTAACCAAAGCTCAAAATAAATATATTCAGTAGGGAACAATAGTCTTCTAACAATGTAGCCTTTCGCAGAGCACCTTGGAGTGATGAATCATTGCACTTGATGATCTTAAACAAGTTTACATATAATTATAGAAGCATGGAAGTTAGGGGGCTGGTATTGTTGTTTTACACAGAAATCTAGCACCAGACATCTAATAAACATTCAGAGGCTTGTATTCGTATTATGTAAGAATTACAACAACCCTAACAGAAAATAAAAATCCCTGGTCAAACTGTAAAATGATTTTTTACTTCCATTTCTGAGTCACTTATTACAAATAGCAAGCCAAAAATAAAGCACACAATCAGGAAAGGAGTCAAGCTAATTTTGTGTAATAGGTAGATAGATAGATATAGATAGATATTGTGTCTGAAGTGTATAATACATACGTACTTGTAGTTTGAGAAATTTTGGCAAGGAATATTCACAAATATGTTGTGATACTGTATTTTTTTTAGCTTTTTATCTGCATTACTAACACTTAAAATTTTTAGAAACCAAATTTAATTTTAAATTATCCAGTAGGAAAAAATTTTCCAGTAGAGGAATCTTTGTGGTTTTAGTCATTTAATATATATGATACCTTTCTTCTTAAAAATTAAAATCTTGAACAAGATCACTGTCTCCCAAAGTCCTGCCTTCTTATGACAAGTATCCTATGTCTATTAGTGTATTCTGCTGTCTGGCTGTCCCTCTTCCGTCTAAATTCTGCAGTCCTTACTATTTCAAACCCTTTATTTTTCCATCTGTAACCCGGGGCTCTCATCCCAATGCTTCTCTCTTGGGTTGTGACTTTATTAAGGCCTGATCTCAGCTTCAACTGATCACGCTTCCAGTGGAATACAGTGCTGAGTAAGCCCGTAACAAAAGAGGAAAAACAAAACAAAACAAAAACCTCTCCTTTACCAGATCAACTACAATTATAAGATTTGAACTGATAAAGTGATCCTTCAGCTGCCTCCAGCCCTCTTACTTACCCTCCCTGCAGGCTTTTCTCCACCAGGGTCTGGGAGCCTAATCGCAGTTACATCGCCAAGGCCTGGGGACCCTTCTTCCTGGGTTGCTAGGCTGCTACTTCTCATCCTCATGTCATTCAGCTGTGCAACAGGTTCTGTTTCCTCATCTGTCCTGAACCTACAAAAGAGACCTCTCATTTATAGATAAAATTGTAAAAACCTCTCTTCTCCATGAATCCTAGAAAATAGCCAAAGCTCCAGGAATATGTACCTATTTATCCTCAAATCCCCAAACTCTCCAACAACTCTATCTCAACTACGCACTCTCTCTGATTTCTAAACTCCACAAAAATCTGCCTGTTTTCCACAGAAACCTTCTGTTGCTTTTCCTGTAACCTCACCAAATCTGCAGGCCAATAAAATATTCTTCCTCCACAGGATCCATGAATCAAGCCTCATGCAGATTTCCTGATCCACTGGGGCTGGTATTCCTGCTTCCATTCTGGTGTTCTGCTTCTTTCATTAGTATGAAAGAGAAGACAGAATGGTTTGATGAATTGGTCAAGTCCAGAAAAATCAGCATACACCATGCCAGGAACCTAAGAAGCTCAGAAAACTTAAGACACAATCAACTAAGTCATGATCTTCTACTCAGTAATAATAGATTGATTATGTTTCTTTGGGTCCCTTAAATGTAAAAGAACAAAAATCCAAATGGAGGAGAAATTGGCTAGGATGTACAAATCCCAAGAAAGACATGATAGTCCTAGAGCCCCCATCTATGAGCTTAGCTCCCCCACCCCCAGCATGATCTAATAGTTACAAAACTCAGATGGAGCATCACTGGGCAGGCAGGACCTTTGCCAGAGACAAACAAATCCAAATGGGTAAGGTCACTTGATAAACAATATCTAGAAAATGATTCCAATTAAAGTATTCCCCCCAAAAAATCTGAAGTGGCTTACTTCATATGCTCTAAATACAGTTCTATACGTATCATTGTTAAAATGAAGAAATAAAATGCATTGGTGAAATTAAGCAAGAGAAATCATTAAGTCTTTGCCATGTTCAGTCTCACATTTCTGGCCACTTGCCTTGTGATGAACGAAGCTGATAATGGAAGAATTATATCCACAATCAGGCATTATATCCATGAGCTTGATACAAGGGCAACTTTGCTCACTTGGAAAATTAAATTTGCTGAATTAACAGCCCACCAGCCCAGTTGGAATGATAGTGTAGAAGGGCATTACTTATAATCACAAATCTGACATAATAACAACTAATGGCCCTACAAATAATATGGAAGCAGATTTTCTTTTTTAACCCACCTCTCCCTGTTAATGAAACTGCACATGATAGGCATTATATTTTCTCAAAACCAGTGGTGTTGAGCTTTAGCCGTATGGAGAAAGAATAATATTTATAAATAAATTTGAATGAACTATAGCACCACTTGATAATTACATTCTGAAAACACTGAGTTTATGCTACCATGGAATAATCATGATACACAAAAAGATATGCTTTCGGTAAAAACACAAGAGGTTCAGTATCCCTGTTTCCATACCCAAAATCACCATGAGGCAAAAATCCCTTTAATAGCCCTCAAATCGACAAAAGAATTTACACATGATTAGACTTATTATATATAAATTTAATGTATGATAAAGAAAGATCACTAATTAGTGCAGAAGAGAATACACAATAAATGATGCTGTGATAAATTTGTTTATCTGTATCTCATAAATAAATTTCAGATGGATAACAGATTTAAATGTAAAAATTGAACTTTATAATACCTAAAGGAAAATATAAAGAATTATATGTAAAAAAATGTACATTAGAAAAAAAGTCATGGGAGTCATCTTAAAAGTTGAAAAGAGTTTTTAATGTGAAAGATTGATACATCTTTTTTTCCTTTTCTTTTTAAAAAATTTAATTGTGGCGGGGCGCCTGGGTGGCTCAGTCACTTGGGCGACTGCCTTCGGCTCAGGTCATGATCCTGGAGTCCCGGGATCGAGTCCCGCATTGGGCTCCCTGCTCAGCGGGGAGTCTGCTTCTCCCTCTGACCCTCCTCCCTCTCGTGCTCTCTGTCTCTCATTCTCTCTCTCACAAATCAATCAATCAATCAATCAATCAATCAATCTTTAAAAAAAATTTAATTGTGGCAAAATATACATAATATAAAATTCTCCATTTTAAACATTTTTAAGTATACAACTCAGGGGAATTAAGTAAATTTACAGTGTTATATAATCACCACCACTATTTTCAGAACCTTTTCATCATCCCAAACAGAAACTCTACCCATCAAGCATTAGCTTTCCTTTTTCTTCCCCCCTCAGCCCCTGGTAACCCCTATTCTACTTATTATCTTTGTGAATTTGCCTATTCTACCTACTTTACATATAGAGAATCATATAATATTTTTTGTCTGGCTTATTTCACTTATATTAATGTTTTCAAGGTTAATCCATGTTGTAGCATGTCAGGGTTCCACTATTTTTTATGGCTAAATAATGTCCATTTTATGTATATATCATATAGTGTTTATCCATTCATCTGTTGATAGATACCTGAGCGGTTTACACCTTTTGGCTATTGTGAATAATGCTGCCATGAACATCAGTGTACACACACCTGTTTTTTTTATTATTTCCAGTATATAGCTAGGATTGGAATTGCTGGATCATATAATAATTCTGTTTAATTTTTTGAGGAACCATCAAACATCAAACTGTTTTCCACGTAATACCTTATTGTTATCTGTTTAACCTTTGCACCATTTGAACATACATCCCCCTATTTTATTTAATTTTTTCTTGTTTTATGTGTTAATATTTTTCCAATTTTTTTTTGTTTTTCAATATTTTCTTGTAAAATACACATAACATAAAATTTATTTTCTTAACAATTTTTAAGTATACAGTTCAGGGGTATTATGTACATTCACATTGTTGTGCAACCATTACCACCATCCATCTCCAGAACTCTTTTCATCTTGCAAAACTGAAATTCTGTTCTCATTAAACAATAACTTCCCATGACCCCTTCTCCCCAGCCCCTGGCAATCACCATTTTACTATTTAATTTTTTTAAACCTTCCCCTCTCCCCATGCTCCAGCCATTGGCAACCATCACTCTACTCTCTGTTACTACGAGGTTGGCTTTTTGTGTTTGTTTGTTGTTTTTCACTTAGCATAATGTCCTCCAGCTTTATCCATATTGTCACATATGACAATTTCCTTCTCTCTTAAAGCTGAATAATATTCCACTACATATATATCACATTTTCTTTATCCATTCATCAGTCAACAAACATTTAGATTATTTCCATACCCTGACTATTGTGAATAATGCTGCAATGAACATGGGACTGCAGATATCTCTCAGAGATACTGATTTCATTTCCTTTGGTCATATACCCAGTAGTGGAATTACTAGACCATATGGTAGTTCTATTTTTAATTTTTTGAGCAACCTCCATACTGTTTTCCGCAGTGGCTGCACCAATTTATATTCCCACCAACAGTGCATAAGGATTTTTCTCCACGTCCTCACCAACACTTGTTACTTTTGACTTTTTGAAAATAACCATCCTAACAGGTGTGAGGTGATATGTCATTGTAGTTTTGATTTGCATTTCCCTGATGATGAGTGATGTTGAGCATCTTTTCATGTACCTGTTGGCCATTTGTATGTCTATTCAGGTCCTTGGCCAGTTTTTGAATCAGTTTGTTTTTTTACTATTGAGCTGTAAGAGTTCCTTATATATTTTGGATATTAACCCCTTATCAGATATATGGCTTGCAAATATTTTCTCCCATTCCATAGGTTGCCTTTTCATTTTATTGATTCCATATACCCTAAAAGCATAAAATCAAAAATTAAAAGGTAAAAAGAAATGGAGAGAAATACAGCAAATATGTTAGATGAAGAGTCAATATATCAAGAGCATACACAGATTAAGAAAAACCCTAAAGTTGTAATAAACAAATTACAAATGGCATGAGTAGATAATTCACAAAAGGAGAAATGCAAACAGCTAACATATATGGTATTATACATTAAACCTCACTTATGGTCAAAAAGTAAAAATTTGAATGAGATTATTCTTGGCCTATCCAATTAGCAATAATTTTTTTTAATGCTTGATTCTACTTCACCCCACCAGAGTTAGCAGAAAAGAAGGAAAGAAGACCTGCTGATCACATAGAAAAAATATTTAAAGATCCTTCTAGCAAAAAGAAAAATGCCATAGGGAATTACCTCCTCTCCTACCCCAAGCAGCACTGCTGTCAGAGGCCCTGGATTGTTCCAATCCACAGTCCCAGGTTGACCATCCACTGAGACGTGTTCTAGACTTTATCTTTCAGATCCATAACTACCAAGTTTCTTCCTGCTGTGCTTTGCCTAATTTTCAGTTATTCACACTCTGACCTTCACCCCATATTTTATATCTCCCACTCTCTTAGGTGGAGTCCCTAACTTCTGCTGTCTGTTCTCCTGACCTTGATCCCTTTTTCTGCCAACATGATAGATGCTAAACCTCCTCATATCTAGTAGAATTCCCAACCTTGGTTTCCCATGCCCTATTTGATATGTTTTTATTCAAATTGTAGTGGAACCATATAATCATACTGATAAGCATTATCTGTACCATAAAGATAATGAAAGTAGCTAGCCTTATGATAAACTTCCTATGATCCAGGCATTATGTTGAATGCGTTACACTCATTCTTCAATCAAGACTTCATAACCCTCTGAGATGGGGAGGTAGTAGTATTTTTATTTTGCTTATGAGGAAGATGTTAAGTGACTCACCAGCCTCATATAGCTGCTGATTCTAGCCAAGTCAGTTTGACCCCTACATGCACTCGACTGCCTCCCTGGGCTTTGATTACATGGAACACATCTTGAAGACCATGATTTGAATTACAGAAAGAAATTCCTATTATAATAAACACTGTAAATATAACATCCTACTGCATTTACAGCATCTAGCCAGGGAAATCAAGTATTTTCTAGGAAAGAAATCAGTACTGAAGTAAACAGAGCCTTATATTGTTTTTCATAAATCATTATTTTCTATGATTTTTCTAGAAATATGAATTGACTGATACAAAACAAAACAAAACAAAAAACCTACCGTACCATCCCATGACAATGAAAGGC